TGAGGAAGGTGCCAGCAAATTCCAAGGAGAGGCTTGACTAAGTTAAATACCTTTCGTGTGCTCCTCCGTTTTGTATTTTGGCAATAAATCAGCACCTGGCAGTCTGGAGTTCAGGGCTCCGTGATCATCCAACTAGAGCTCGCCATTCTGACCGCTGAGCCAAGAGCAGGACTCTGCTATTTACCCGCTCCCTTGCCCAGAAGTTCGAGGCAGAACAGACTATTTCCAGATGGGAGCTGCGCCAGCCACTCAGAAATGGAGGCGGTGGGAAAGGAGATAAAAAGGGTAAAGTTGCACTGAAAGTGCCATGTCATTCTTAATAGATACACTCACTGAAATCCGTTTAACACTGGCTTACGGCAGCACTGAAGCCATCTGCTGTGGACAGGTGCATCTAGAAAGCAAAGCTACATATAATTATTTAACACTTTATGGCTCATTTCCCCCTCTTTAAGTGAGCGATAAGTCCCCACACGTATAGGCCATACTAACTAACAAGCCCATATGAATTGCACTGTTTATGGAAGAGAGATGGGATTTCAAACATGTTCTTCCAAAGCCAAGCTCCCATGAAGGTGGAAGCTTCTTTCCCAATGCACCCTCATCACAAGCCAGGGAGCCAGTAACAACCTTACTCCTTCCTCTCCAAAGACGACACAAGCTTTCTTGCTGCCACGACCTGTAGTCCCAATGGGAAAGGCTGGGTAAGCCAAGAAGGATCTGTAATCCCCAGCACGTGCTAACCCTTTGCAACGCGGTTCTAGGGTAACATTTGGGAAAAGGTTCCAACAACTAAGCACAGTTACAATAAGTCTTTTGAAAGTCACAGTACAGAAGACTGAAAACAAGTTTTAAAAAGCGCCTCGAGAGCTCTGGGAGGTGCTTGCTGAAGGAGCCAGGCGCTTTTCCTCCCGGCCCAGTGCACAGAGCAAACCTCCTGCATGCTTCCCGCAAGTCTGGGGGAGCTTTATCCCGGACTCTCCAGTGCTTCCCGAGTCCCGAAGCCGCCTGATGAACAATCCCATGCGCCTTCCACGCAGGGCTAGCAGCCCTGCTGAGACCTCGCCTCCTCCTTCAGAACACGCGGGCCATTCTGGATTCTTGGTTGGACGTTTGCGCCTCCAGAAAATAGGAAGTGTTTAGAAAGTTCAGAAATCCTTGGGAAAAAAAGCCTTGGTGCTTTTCCTTTTACACGTAGATATTTATATAAGGTTCGTGGGGCGATCTCTCTTTTTTATTCTGAAAAGGCAGGAAACATATTTAACTCCGGGAATTCTTCATTGTTGTAGTTGGTTCCCTGGTCTCCCAGCATTGACAGCATGTCCTGTAAGAACAAAATGCGTTTTATATCTGTTCTGCAGGAGCGTGTAGGAGCGCGAGCCCCAGTCACGGACTCAGGTCCCATTGCAATAGGTGCTGCGCAAAAACCAGAACCGACACTCTCTTTCCCAAAGAGCTTCCAATTTAACGACTCCTGCAGGCACCCTCCCACTGCCTGTCACAGTCTGGATACAGCCGACCTGTGACTAACTGTGGCTACACACTCCTGGTCAAACAGGGAGCTGAAGTGGACCGCTGGACCCTGTGGGGCGCACACTGCAGAGGACTCACAGAAGAGGGACTGGGGGCTGTATTTGGTGTTCCCCCTCTCCACAGAATAGGCCCAGCTCAGGCTGCAGCACATGCTCTGCCCAGCACCCTGCCAGGAGGCCTTAGCCCAGCTATGGACCAGACGCCGCTGAGGGGAAGAGGAGAGGTCAGTCTGCGGCCACATGTGTCCCTGAGACTGAGGAGTAATGACAAGCCAATTCTGGTGGTGCTGGGTGAAGTGTGCTCCTGCCTACTGGAACAAGACAGGCCCCACTGGGATCCCAACCCGAGGCAGAGTCAAACCAGCTACCTAGCGGAGGTGAACAGCTCCAGATCCCTGGACCGTCTCCTTCCCAGCAATTCCATTCGGGCTCATTATGGACGTTCACAGCCCGCTGCCCAACACTCTTAAGGAGCCAGTGCTGTTGTAAGCCACGCCCACTGCTTCCTGCAGGATTTACAGTCCTGATCTCCCTCAAAGGGTTACAAAAATGCCATCTTACTGGGAAGACCTCAGGCTGACTTGGCTGCTGCTGGACGTGCTGCTCCCCAGAGCTCTGCCCGTGGTGTTGTCCTGGCCACTGAGGCCACATGCCAACTCCTTCTGCCGTCCGTGTCTGGAACTGGGCTGGGGTCTGTCCAGTTTCAGCGGCTGTTTAACAGAGTAACAAGGTCAGGGTGTTGTGCCCACAGAAGAGCCTCTAACCCAAGGGGAGCGATAGCTGTTCCCCCAAGAGTCTTTAAGGGTCAGGCAACACAAGAACGGTTATTGCTTTGGGCAGCCAACTTAGTCTGTCAATAAGGTGGAGAGCGCGCCCAGCGTCTTAGCGGCAAGGGTAATCGAACCATGGATTACGAAGGGTCCATCGCTGATCTTATCCAATCAGCTCAGGACTGAATTTCTGGCAGGGTCAGGACGATAGGAGTCAAGAGGGACCCTCTTACTCTAACCGGACTGTGATTTTTAGAATCCCTTCTACCTTCCTCTGCCAGACACAGCTACTGCAGCTGTAAAAGCCGCCGGTTTGCCTCAGTAAGGACAAGCGGGGAAGGGGAGAGGCAAGAATTCAGTTTTAGAAGTAACACTAGCACAGCATTAAAGGCTGTGGTGGGAAGCTGCATCTACCCGTACCTGACCCAAATTTGACCTTAACCCTAATCTTTAAGCGCAAATCCAAACAAGCATCTTTTGAAAGGAGCTTTTATCCTGCTCCCACCTCCATAGCAAGATTCGACACATGCCCCTTGTGCACCACGAACGGCACTTACCAAAGCCAGTGCTGCGGCTGGCAAGGGGTGGATAAGCAGCGACCCCCGGGGAAGCTGTGGAACCAGGCGTTGACATTGGGCTGAAAGAGGGAGGGGTGCCTTGGAAATTCCCCATTCCAAATGAAGGGGACCGAGTCTTTGTGGTCTGGGAAGCCACTTGCTGTAAACACCAAGAGAAAGAAATGCTGCATTATTCTGCTCCAAAACGAAAACAGTACAGGATGCTGGGCTCACGCATCTCTGGAGACTGAAGTTCTCTACCCGAACACACAGCGCAAGCTTCTCCCAGTCAACCTATCCCAGCCCGGCACCTGGAGGGCCCCTCTCTAGGGACGAGCGCTCTTCAGGGTAAGGGCTTGTCTCTGTAGGTGCTGTGGCCAGCGCCCAGTGCACAATGGGCCTATTTTCATTGTGGCAAGCGGGTGCTGTAGTAATAGAAATATGAACTAATCCCTTGAGTGCTCAGTCCATGGTCTGGACACTCCTTGGCCTTGTTACATCTGCAAATAATCCCATTCTAGACAGTTTTCATACTGTTCTCATCTTTGAGCACCTTCCAGCAGGCAGCAAGCAACACAACTACACATCCATCACGTATCTGTGGTCTCCTCAGGCGCAGGAGGCGGCACAGTGAACTACCTTGGTTCACCAGCGGGTTTCTTTTGTTTCTTATGAATATACGTGTTGCTATGCATTTAACTAACAGGAAAGGCAAGGGCAGAGACATGCACCCTGCCCTAGGAGAGGAGGGTGTGGAGGTTTAGGATGGGCCTTTGTTCCTGAGTGAGTTCATTCCAGTCTGGGACAGGCCACCCAACAAATTCCTCCTGCCCAGAGGAGCTCTGCTCTTAGGGTTGGCTGGATGCATTGATGGAGCAATTGTTTTCAGGGTTGGAGGTCGAACCCTTGCCTCCTTAGAAATGGATCTGGACCATTTCGCTCAAGCAGCTGCTGTAACGTCAGCTATTAAGAGATGGCGATCGCTGTCCAACTGGAATTGTTGAATACATCCTGGGTGACCTTCCCCACATGCCAGGGAAATTCCTCCATCAATTTCCTATTCAGAAGTCAAGCACGTCAGAACCCTTTAATATTCCCATGCAGCTAGTGAAAGAGAAATTCTCACGTCAGCAACCTGCCTGCTTGCTGCAAACCTGTATCCTCCGTGAAAAGGCTCCCTGGGAATTCTCAAAAAGGTACCTGTGCCGTGAACGACGGTCGTGTTGCTGATGCCCAGTTGGTTGCAGTGACGGGAGTGGTGTTGGAGTGGCGAGAAATCTGGGCTAAAATCTGGCCAGCTGAAGCAGGCTGCTGCTGGATGATGTTGACGGGGGGTACCATGCTACTGCTCCTAGAAGAGAACGTGCTTTTTTAAGAGTGATCCCCAATTTAGCAGTGACCACTAGACCTGCCGTCAGAAGTATTAGAAGCACAGGCAGACAGGTAGAATGTGGAGACTATCTAGAGCAGGGGTCAGCAACCTTTGAGAAGTGGCGCACCAAGATCTAACTTATTCACTTCATTCACAGGTCAGCGTGCCGGTGATACTTTTTCAGTCAATAATAGTCCTGCTACCAGCAGCTTCATTAATAAATACATTCAAATGCAGATTGTACCTTTAGTGTGATCCTTGGCCTTGCTTTGCCTTGCTGAGTTCTCTGATCTCGGGCTCATAGTTTGATACTTTAAGCAGCAAA